TGTGGGCTTTCTTGTGCATCATCTTTAGAAGAGGCTTCTTTCTGGGACGACAGCCATGCAGACCAATTTGATGCAGTGTGGAGCACTGACAGGCTGATCCCCCACCCCTTCAACCTCTGCAGCAATGCTGGCAGCACTCATACGTCTATTTCCAAAACACAAACTCTGGATATGACACTGCGCACGTGCACTCAACTTCTTTGGTCGACCATGGCGAGGCCTGTTCTGAGTGGGACCTGTCCTGTTAAACTGCTGTATGGTCTTGGCCGTGCTGCAGCTCAGTTTCAGGGTCTTGGCAATCTTCTTAAAGCCTACGCCATCTTTATGTAGAGCAACAATTATTTTTTTCAGATCCTCAGAGAGTTCTTTGCCATGAGGTGCCATGTTGAACTTCCAGTGACCAGTATGAGAGCGTGAGAGCGATAACACCAAATTTAACACACCTGCTCCCCATTCACACCTGAAACCTTGTAACACTAATGAGTCACATGACACCGGGGAGAGAAAATGGCTAATTGGGCCCAATTTGGACATTTTCACTTAGGGGTGTACTCACTTTGTGGCCAGCAGTTTAGACATTAATGGCTGTGTGTTGAGTTATTTTGAGGGGAAAGTAAATTTACACTGTTATACAAGCTGTACACTCTTTACATTGTAGCAAAGTGTCATTTCGTCAGTGTTGTCACATGAAACGATATAATAAAATATTTACAAAAATGTGAGGGGTGTACTCACTTCTGTGAGATACTGTGTGTATGTATATGTATATATATATACAGTGGGGCAAAAAAGTATTACTTTTATAAGGTGTATTTCATTAATTTCATAGCTTTAAATATTACTCAATATTTTTAAGTGTAAAAATATTTCATTAAAAAAAAAATAATAATACATCATAGTTTAAGTTGTAGGGTGGTTACAGTGGAAAATTGAGTTTTCTTTATTATGGCGTTCAGAGTATAATTTTTTTTATCCACAGTAATTTCACACTTGTCTAGTACAAATATGTCGCTTTGTTTCATAATTACAGTGTATACGTTTTTCTTTATTTACCCTCAAAAATTGGAAGGTAAATGTGACAACATGCCCCGTAGGTGAGGTACATTGTAACAGCTGAGGGACACGTTGTAACATGACCTTATGACAGCTTAAAATGTTATCTGATCGCATGAAAAAAATATACAAGACAAGGTAAAATATTTTGTCAATAAAATAAAATAATAATTTTTTAAGAATTGAAAAAATTATCTGATTTTGTAGTTTGACAATGAACACATTGAAATAATAATTTCTTAACATTAAACATGGACTGTTATTCACCTGTTTCTCATCGTTTATCATTAAAATGTATTAAAGTAAATAGTGTGAATTACATTGTCTATATAATGTTGATATGGTAACTAGTAAAGGCTGTAAATTTGGTTATGCTAGTATGTGTGGAAATATTTAAACCACGTGTGTTACAGCTTACCCCGCGTTACTTTGTGCCCCGCGCTCCCCTATATTATATTATATTATATTATTTCAGTTGTCTAATTCTTATCATGTCGGCTCTGTCTGGGTGTATTTTGTAGAGTTTATATATCCCCTTTATCTGTTTTAAGGGAAACATAGAAAAACAGGCAGAGATGTGGCCATCAAAGTAATAGACAAAATGAGATTCCCCACCAAACAGGAGAGCCAGCTGAGAAATGAGGTTGCCATTTTACAGGTGATCAGTCTTTTTAATTTGATTATTGAGAAATTGTTAGCTGCTCATCTAGAATGTTTTCATACTGGGGAGAAATCACATCTATCTATCTATCTATCTGTCTATCTATCCGTCCGTCCGTCTATCTTTGTCTATCCATCCATCCGTCCGTCCGTCCGTCTGTCCGTCCGTCTGTCCGTCCGTCCATCCATCTATCTTTGTCTATCCATCCATCCGTCCGTCTGTCTGTCTGTCGACCTATCGGGCTGTCCGTCTGTCTGTCTGTCGACCTATCCATCGGTCTGTCTGTCGACCTGTCTATCTATCCGTCCGTCCGTCTGTCTGTCTGTCTGTCTGTCTATCTATCCGTCTGTGTGTCTGTCTGTCTATCTATCTAACTATCTATCTATCTATCTCCTTGAAAGCTGTACTGTAATATGAAACTGTTAGCTGCTCATCTAGAATGTTTTCATACTGGGGAGAAATCACATCTATCTATCTATCTATCTATCTGTCTATCTATCCGTCCGTCCGTCTATCTTTGTCTATCCATCCATCCGTCCGTCCGTCCGTCCGTCTGTCCGTCCGTCCATCCGTCTATCTTTGTCTATCCATCCATCCGTCCGTCTGTCTGTCTGTCGACCTATCCATCGGTCTGTCTGTCTGTCTGTCGACCTGTCTGTCTGTCTATCTATCCGTCCATCTGTCTGTCTGTCTGTCTGTCTGTCTATCTATCCGTCCGTCCGTCTGTCTGTCTGTCTGTCTATCCGTCCGTCCGTCTGTCTGTCTGTCTATCTGTTGTCTGTCTATCCGTCCGTCCGTCTGTCTGTCTATCTATCCGTCCGTCTGTCTGTCTGTCTATCTATCCGTCCGTCTGTCCGTCTGTCTGTCTGTCTATCTATCCGTCTGTCCGTCCGTCTATCTATCTATCTATCTGTCCGTCCGTCTGTCTGCCTGTCTGTCTATATTTGTCTGTCTGTCTGTCCATCTGTCAATCTATCGGTCGGTCTGTCTGTCTGCCTATCTATCGGTCTATTTATCTATCTGTCCATCCATCCATCCGTCCGTCCGTCTGTCTGTCGATCTATCGGTCAGTCTGTCTATCTATCTATCTTTCTGTCCGTCTGTCTGTCTGTCTGCCTATATCTATCTATCTATTCGTCCGTCCGTTTATCTATCTGTCCATTTATCTTCCATTTATCTATCTGTCTGTCCATTTATCTTCCATTCATCTATCTGTCCATCCGTCCATTTATCTATCTGTCCGTCCGTCCATTTATCTATCTGTCCGTCCGTCCGTCTATCGGTCTGTCCGTCCGTCCGTCCTTCTATCGGTCTCTCTGTCTGTCCGTCCTTCTATTTATCTATCTGTCTGTCCGTCCATCTATCGGTCTGTCCGTTCGTCCATCTATCGGTCTATCTGTCCGTTCATCTCTCGGTCTGTCTGTCCGTCCATCTATCGGTCTGTCTGTCCAGCTATTTATCTATCTGTCTGTCCGTCCATCTATCGGTCTGTCCGTTCGTCCATCTATCGGTCTATCTGTCCGTTCATCTCTCGGTCTGTCTGTCCGTCCATCTATCGGTCTGTCTGTCCAGCTATTTATCTATCTGTCTGTCCGTCCGTCTATCGGTCTGTCCGTTCGTCCATCTATCGGTCTATCTGTCCGTTCATCTCTCGGTCTGTCTGTCCGTCCATCTATCGGTCTGTCTGTCCAGCTATTTATCTATCTGTCTGTCCGTCCATCTATCGGTCTGTCTGTCCATCTATTTATCTATCTGTTTGTCCGTCCGTCTATCGGTCCGTCTGTCCGTCCATCTGTCTGTCTGTCTGTCTGTCTGTCTGTCAGTCATATTATATTGATGGCCAGATAAAGCTTTTGACAGACCATCCAGCTGATACGTGCGTGCAATAAAGTGACTGCTTTGCTGTCATAGATCCTTGTGGCTTTGCGACATCTCCATTTCAAGAACATTGTTCACTGTGACCTGAAGCCAGAAAATGTGCTGTTGGCATCTGCGGAGCCATTTCCTCAGGTAAACAACAGTGAATAAAGCACATTACCCTTAAAAAAATCACTATATAATAAGCACCGGGTTTCCCAAACTAGGGGTTTGAGTTGACGAAAAAACAGTTAAATAATTTAGCCTTCAAGTAAATACTTGTGAGTTCCTGTGACAAAACCTGAGCAAATTAGACCACTTGCTCAATGAGATCACTCTCTTGTTTCAGGTAAAATTGTGTGACTTTGGGTTTGCTCGGATCATCGGGGAAAAATCTTTTCGGCGCTCAGTGGTGGGCACACCTGCATATCTGGCCCCAGAGGTGCTGCGCAGTAAAGGCTACAACCGTTCCCTAGACATGTGGTCAGTGGGAGTCATTATCTATGTCAGTTTAAGTGGCACCTTCCCCTTTAATGAGGACGAGGACATTAACGACCAAATCCAGAATGCAGCTTTCATGTACCCACCAACACCCTGGAAAGAGATCTCTGCTGAAGGTAAGCAGTCACGCTTTACTGATTTCATGCTACTTTCTAAACTAAAGAATGAACCTGTTTTCTCAGCACCACCGTGTTTTTGTTACAGAGCAGTTGCTGAGAATAAACCAAAATATAAACTGGTTTTGTACATTTTTGGAAGAAATGGGCAGTAGTGCATGACGGATAAGGTGTTTTCATTTGTCTGAAGAAAGAGGGAGATGTCTAGATGTCTGTCAGACAGCGCGCAGACTGTCCACCCCCACGTCTGTTTAGAATAGTTCTTTCCGCCCAGGACCTGAGAGATTATATCAGCCTCTCCCAATTTCAGTCTGTCACACTCCTCTACCAGACTATAAATGTAATTTCTCTGTCTCTGCGTTTCACATCATTACATGTTGGGTTTATTTTTGTTGGAGCAATTATACTAAAATTCATCATTACAATAGTTTAATTTATTGTTGAACATTGTGTGAAGAAACTTACATAACAGCTCTATACTTATTTTGTTTGACTATATTACCATTCTAAATATCCTGGTCTATCACGTTTTTTTCGGAGAACAATTGTTTTCAGCATTGATAAAAATAAGAAATGTTTCTTGAGCACCAAAAAGAATCATGTGACACTGAAGACTGTTGTTGAACTTTCAGCTTACAAGTCTAATCGGACTAGTAATATACTCCAGTATTCCAATACGTCTTGGGACTAAACTGGCTTTACGTTTTTCTTTTGTGTTGCTGTGAAGTATACTGTGAACCATACTACAAGTGAACTTATACTATTAGTTATATACTTCTAGCCAACTTTCCAGTAGTTTATGGAAGCACACTTTGAATTATACTCCGCAAATGTTCTTAGCTAAGAGTTTCCTCTTAAAACCTATTTACAAAACTTACTAGTAATTGGGAGAAATCTTAAGCTAAGAGAAAGGACGGGGTTGATCTTATTGCTATGGATGATGAACTAAGAATTATGAGAAAGAACATTTTATGTACTTATCAGAGATATAAAGTACACTAGATGTATACTTTCATTTTGGGGTTAAAACAAGTACACCAACAGCACACTATTTATGTAAGGGTACAGATTGATCTCTGGAAATGTGGCCCAGATCTGTAATATTGTAACATTCTGATCATGTATTAACCATCCTATCTATGTCCACAATCTCCAATTGAACTCTACAGCTACAGATCTGATCAACAACCTTCTCCAAGTCAAGATGAGGAAGCGATACAGCGTGGACAAGACCCTCAGTCATCCGTGGCTACAGGTAAGTAACCTAAAAACCTGCAAAACGGCTTCTCTGAATGTTTTAGAGCTTTATACCTCAACTTATACATGTCTGCACTGCCCCAGGACTACCAGACGTGGCTCGATCTGCGAGAGTTTGAGACGCGCCGAGGGGAACGCTACATTACTCACGAGAGCGACGATGCACGCTGGGAAAAGTACGCTTACGAGCACACTCTGGTGTATCCGAAGCACTTCATCATGGCTCCAAACCTTGATGATATGGATGAGGACCCCTAGTGGCCGTATGAGCCGAACTGAAAACGAGGTCAGATGAAGGCAGAGACCTGTTAATGGTCTGTTGCTATGGAGAATGAAACACATCAGCAATCTGAAGCAGACTTTGAGGGGAGCAGACTGTTACAAAGCCAGCGAGGTCGACCGCTCTCTGGGTGTCAACAAGAGTCATCCACACTGCTAATGAAGATGAAGGCTGTTTCAGAGCGTGGAAATGCAGTATTCGCGGGGAGTGCATTCAGAAGTCTTAATGACTCTTCTTTTCCAAACGGTGCTGTTATGTTTGTTTCTTATCGAGGTGTGTGTTCCGAATGTCAGAAACTCGCGTTACAATAATATAAAGGTTAGTAACAGATGTGAATATTGGGGAGAACGATGCAGTCGTTTATAGTAGTTTTATTTTGAAAGCATCAAACTGGAACGTGCGTTTTTGAAATTCCTATTCTATGATTTTCTAATTCGCTTTGTCCTTAAATATAGGTTACACAGCAGACTGAATGATTTCAAAAGGGTCGTTTTTTTGCACTAAACAATACAACCACTGCAGCTGGTACAATTAAATGAATTATGTGACGTAACAGCACACCATTCTTGAAGAATCCAGAAGATGGCGCTTGTGTCGGACAGCTACACTCAAGCTCTGAATGGAAAGGAAGGGGAGATATTATCTTCAGCGGACCAAAGACATTCGCGTCAATTGTGACTCTTGTTCTTGCGTCGTTTTAGAGCTGATGTTCTCAGAGCCATTCTGTTTATTTATTCCTCGTACTGCAGTCTTAAAATCTAATAGCAGCTAAGCAGTGCAGAAAGATGTGTCGGTCAAAAGCCTACTGTGAGAAAGCTTTATGACTTATTAGCAAAGCTCTTTTAATACAAAAAAGTAATGTATTGAAAATAACTGCTAACAACTTTTATTAGAAGTTGTAGAACTTTATTCTTTTTGTTCCTTTCCCTTTTTTTTTTTTTAAATATGGTATGTATTGTACTCAAGAATGAACCTTTCTATGAATCCCAGAACTGGAAAATCTGAAAAATATTTTTGGTAATGGACTTTTTGTTGTTGTACAAACCACCTACAATATTAAAATTAAGCTGGATCCTCTATACACACACACACAACCTAGTGAAAATGAGCAAATGTGATGGGAAAAGAAGACATTTTTAAGTAGTTTCTTTTCATTGTCCATGAAATAAAAACTGTACCATACACAATGAAATATGGGAGAAACAGATTGAGGATTCCTCTGAATCATCACATCTTGATCACTATGTTGCCGCTGGATTGGCAAGTGTAAGTGTTCTGTATATTTTAGTACATACTGGTTCAATAAAAGCTATACACTCCATGCGTTTGGGGTGATTATTCAAGGATTTGGATTTGCTGATGGTGGAGGAGAGATCTGACAAAATGAAGTTTTTGACATTTTTGCAGGTCATGAAATGATCAGAAGACCCAATAGATCTATATTTGAAGGAGCTGGGCATGTCTGCACCAGAATATCATGACAACCTAGTGAAAATGAGCAAATGTGATGGGAAAAGAAGACATTTTTAAGTAGTTTCTTTTCATTGTCCATGAAATAAAAACTGTACCATACACAATGAAATATGGGAGAAACAGATTGAGGATTCCTCTGAATCATCACATCTTGATCACTATGTTGCCGCTGGATTGGCAAGTGTAAGTGTTCTGTATATTTTAGTACATACTGGTTCAATAAAAGCTATACACTCCATGCGTTTGGGGTGATTATTCAAGGATTTGGATTTGCTGATGGTGGAGGAGAGATCTGACAAAATGAAGTTTTTGACATTTTTGCAGGTCATGAAATGATCAGAAGACCCAATAGATCTATATTTGAAGGAGCTGGGCATGTCTGCACCAGAATATCATGAGGAGTTCCACACATACAGCCCTTTACACAGAAGTACTGCTATATTTTTGTTTACAGATCTTGTGTGAACAAGACGACTATCGGTTCTGGCAACTTGCTGTGCTTCACAAGTCAATCATCACTGTATTGCATTGCATTATATGTTTTGATAATAAAACTAATCATTTATATATCAATATTCTTATACTTTGTGTCAAAAAAAGTTTCATATGGCAGGTTTTACTGGCTGGGTTAAGCATCTGATGTTGTGGGTCTGTACGGCTGGTGTGTGTGTGTGTGTCAGTGTGTTCAGAGCAGTGAGCCACATTATGAGAGTGGCACCACAAATCAGCTCCAATCAACAGCATCTGGATGCATTTATGTAACCACTGAGATCAGGCGCTGTGGCCTTCCTCACAACACTCACATTTATGAAAGGACTGGCTAAGTTTACTTTCATATTTAAATGAGCTGTATGTCTTCATGTTTCTCAGAGATTGTCAAATGGTGCTATATAGAACCATAAGAGTAACTGCATTCTCCTCAGATTTTAGATTCGTTACTCCACTCTCACAGGTTTGCTATGAATGGGAATTTACTACAATGGAAAAAGCTGTCTTGAATCACATTTATGCTTGAGGTCAATAAGTCAAGTGTAGGGGTCCTGGAATATTTACTCATGGCAGGGTCTTGGGGGCAAAAAAATTGAAAACCATGTTATCTTCAGGAAATACACTGTATTTTAATGTTGTTTTTTAATCCTTTAGCCAACTAAACTAAAGAGACAAAGGAGTGTTAGAGAACCTTTAAATAACTATACAGGGGCTTAACGGGTTCTTCAACCACCCCCAAAAAATGCTGTGGGGGTGTGTGTGTGTGTGAGTGAGTGAGTGAGTGTGCGTGCGTGCGTGACTAAAGAGACAAAGGAGAGTTAGAGAACCTTTAAATAACTATACAGGGGCTTAACGGGTTCTTCAACCACCCCCAAAAAATGCTGTGGGGGTGTGTGTGTGTGTGTGAGAGTGTGTGTGTGTGTGTGTGTGTGTGTGAGTGAGTGAGTGTGCGTGCGTGCGTGCGTGCGAGCGAGCGTGCGTGCGTGCGTGCGTGTTTGTGTGTGTGTGAGTGAGTGAGTGAGTGTGCGTGCGTGCGTGCGAGCGAGCGAGCGTGCGTGCGTGCGTGCGTGTTTGTGTGTGTGTGTGTGTGTGAGTGAGCGTGAGTGTGTGTGTGCGTGCGTGTGTGAGAGTGAGTGAGTGAGTGAGTGAGTGAGTGAACGAGTGTGTGTGTGAGTGTGTGCCGTTCAAACGTTTGGGGTCAATAATTATATATATTTTTTGTGTTTGTTTTTTTAAATAAAGAAATTAATATTTCATTAATAAATTAACATTATTAAAAGTGACACACTGTAAAAAATGACCGTGAATTTAACGGTAAAAGACTGTAAAAATGCTACAGTAAAAACCTGTTAAATGGTTAACGGTAAATTCCCCTACTATATACGGTGAAAAACTGTATTGGACATTACATGTATTGGACATTCACTTTACGGTAGTATACCGTTTTTGGAAGTGAAAAAGACCGTATAATTTACAGTGAATAACCGTAAATTGACATTCCCAGAATTCCCTGCATTACATTTCAAATTTGATGTTTTTTTGTTGAAATAACTATGTTTCTTCTTAGTTTTTTTCTTATCAGTTTTGTATATTAGGGTTGTAATGTTGTTAAATTAATGTTTATTGCATTATTTCAGTTTCATGTGTGTTACCATGATGGTGTTTGTGTGAATGACACTGTGCACCTTCTATATATGTTATTATTTAGAAGCTACTTGTGATGGGCTTTTGTTCATCATGTGACTTTCTCATCACCACCTGCATTTGGTGGTTATCAATGTATTGCAAAGGTACAAAACAGATGTCAGTGCTTCAATAGGTTGGTATATAATAACATTTGATCAGTTAATGAAATTACTGTATTTGACTGTAAATTTAAGTTAAAACCGTAAAACCTAAAACGTTGCTACCGTATTTTTTACGGTAAAATTCCAGTAACCACAGCTGCCGTTTTTTTACCGTAAATTTTACCGTTTTTTTTTACAGTGCAGTTAAGACGTAATGTTACAAAATAATGATAAAAGCTCTTTTTTTAACTTGCTATTCATCAAAGAATTCTGAAGAAAAAAAAGTTTGCACAACATATGAAGCAGTAGAATTGTTTTTAACGTTGACGATAATGAGAAATGTTTCTTGAGCAGTAAATCAGCATATTAGAATGATTTCTGAAGGATCATGTGACACTTGAGGACTGGAGTAATGATGCTGAAAATTCAGCTTTGATCAGGAATAAATACAAATATACATTTTAAAATACTGTACCTTCAAATAAAAACCAGCTATTTTAAATTGTAATAATATTCGTCATTATTGCTGTTTTACTGTAGTTTTGATCAAACGCAGCCTTGGTGAGTAAGACACTTCTCTCAAACATTAAAAAGGGTATTTAATTTATCAAAAGACATTTAAATAGAACAATACTGGGTGCTCAATCCAGCAGGTCTGCTGTAAGTCACTCTCGTAAGAGCGAGTCTCATCCACTTCCCCTGAGATGAAGGGACCTCTGAATGAGCTTCTTTATCTGCCTTCTCCGCAAATGGCTTAAAGATGTGCGGCTGTGCCACATGGCTGACTGATAAGTGTTCATCTTCAGGAGACAGGAAAACTGCGCAGATAAATTTACTCTGTCATTGTATTTCATGACCAGACCTTGCATCCTGAGGATACATTTGGTTTTATCATAAACTGGTTTAGATAAGGCACCCACAGGTCTGAGATTGGAAATAAGACAATCTTTCGCCAAATAACATGAGCTAAAATAAAGCTAGAAAGAGCATGACTTTTTATTTATTTATTGGTAAATACTTAAAGCTAACAGTAAAATAGCAACACTGATGTGTTGATGTTGCATTTTTCCTTCTGTGGAACATAAAACAAGATATTTTGTGTTTTTCTCCATACAATGGGAGTCAGTGGTCACCGAACTGGTCACAAACATTTAACAAAATCTCTTCTTTTGTAGAGGAAACAAAGGCTTGGAAAGACATGAGAGTGAAGGTGCACTTTAAGAAAAGCTGCAAGTCCAGTGTATCCAGAAGCATTTCTACACTGTAAAATGTGATTTTCTTACTCAGTATTTTGTCTTGTTTTCCAGTAAATATCTAAACATTTTAAAATCAAACACTTAAAAAGCATAAGATATTAAGCTTTGTTTTCTGAAAATGTCGCTAAATAAATAAATAAATAGGCCTAAATAAATAAAAATGATCTTCCCCCCCCCCTTCTAATCTTATTTTTCGTACCCGTTTGGTGATCTTAAACTCAATCCAATTTGATAAATTATTCAGAAAACAAGGCTTGATATCTTGCGTCATTTTGCTTTTAATGTATTTGTACTGGAAAGCAAGTCAAAAATACTAAGAAAATCTTTTGTAGCTATATGTGAGTATACAGGGCATTATAGAAGGTTGCTGAATCTGAATTAAGAAATGTAAAAAAAACTAAGTCAGAACATGTTTAACAACAGTGTCTGGCAATTCTGAGAGAAATAAAATGCTAGAAAAAAAGTCCAAATTGTGAGCTACAAACTCGCATTGTGAGATAAAACTACCGTTTCCCCCCCCATACAAACAATGGTTTGTAGATGTCACCTCATGCAGTGCTATTTTTGTTTTCTGTCTTAAAGGGGTCATATGATGTGGCTAAAAAGAACATTATTTTGTGTATTTGGTGTAATGAAATGTGTTTATGCGGTTTAAGGTTCAAAAAACACATTATTTTCCACATACTGTACATTATTGTTTCTCCTCTATGCCCCGCCTTTCTGAAACGTGTCGATTTTTACAAAGCTCATTGATCTAAAAAAACAAGGTGTGCTCTGATTGGCCAGCTATCCAGTGCGTTGTGGTTGGCCGAATATCTCAAGCGTGTGACGGAAATGTTACGCCCCTACCATACTGTGATGCCTGCGGCAACCACATGTGACGACCCCGGGCTGGACTCCGCTTCGTCCACGGTGAAAGCCGATCCGGCGATCGACAGCGCGAAGTTGAAGTATTTCCTCAGCGACCAGCACGGATCAGCTCCAGGCATGACAAAGCGATATCATCCTCTTTTAGAAGGTCAAACAAAGTAGTTTCGCTTTCACAGCGAAGCACACAGCGCCTTCACGACATGGCGGCGGCGGCAACAATACTACAGCGAGAATAAAAGTTACGCCTTCTTTCTTTGCGTGAAGATGTGGGAAGAGTTGCATAACGCGGCCCAGATAGTGAGGTAGATATGTGGGGGCGTGTTCGAACGAGCCGTTTTAGGTAGGCGTGGTTGACTCTTAACTTTTATAAAGAATATCTCTTTGGATTTGAGACTTTAGTCTTTGCAACTTTACAGATCTTCTTTATGCACCAAGAGCTTGTAACACTCCAAAGAGAAAGGAAAAATTGAAATCGCATCATATGACCCCTTTAAGTAGAGTATCATGTTACGGTGTGAGAAACCGCTTCAGTAGCCCATCTGCTGTCCGAATCGCCAACTATTTCAGACAGTTTTTGCCACACCATTCCAC